CCCCAAAACCCCAAAACCCCAAAACCCCAAAACCCCTTGCTTCGTATAATTAATGGAAATTATAATATAATAAAAGATGAAGAAAACTCCTATCAAATTGACAATCGTATTGTGATTACTCTTATTTACTCATTTTTCTCAGGGAAAATGGGAATATTTTACAAAAGCAAAGGAAAAGATAAAAAGCGCGTAAGGATTTGTTAAATTTCAAGTATACACTTTTGCTAATCTTGATAACAAATTTAGATGAAATTTTGTTAAAAATGCTACTGCCAATGCTTCCAACAAAATTGCTGAAACTATCACGAAAACAAAAGATAACATTCTAAACGTAAATATTATTGCATTTTCATATTTTTGCACTATATTCTCAGCATTGCTTCTAAACTTGGTTAGATCCTTCATTAACTAACAAAAATTTAAAAACATCCAATTTTATAAAATATTTTAGTCAGAAACTGTAGAATATTTTACTGGAATCAATAACAACGAAGCAGATCTTGAAGTTTATGATTACAAGGAATTTATCGAAAATTATCAACTAAGCCTTAATACTACCAGCTCGTCTAAAGCTAATAACTGAGCTCCTGATGTTTCGATTTGCACAGACAATGAATACGATCAAAAGCATGAATGCCAAGATCCCCCTCTAATTTGAGAAGTGTCAGAATTGTCAGCATCAATAATAGAAGGTGATTTCTCTAATTCAACAAGAAAAGTAGTCAAATTTTTAAACTTAACTCCAAACTCTATTCAAGAAGTAGAATATGATAATGACGAACCAGAAGTAGTGATCTGTATATCTGGGTTCACTAGTCAAAAGGATGACTACACCAAAACTTGGGAGGGAGTAATCAAAAATAAAGATCCTCATAAGGAAGTTTTTGCCTTTAAATGGCCTTCAAATGATGTATGGGGTTACTTTAAAGAATTGTTTGGTAATCTAATCAGCCTTAAGATTATAGGCAATGCTCGTGCTCATAGGAAAATCTTTAGTTTTGCTACAAAATCAGGGAAGCTTCTGGCGCATGCTTTGATAATGGGCTATCCTAAACGTTTCTCGAAGGTTACTTTCGTCTCATTCAGTCTTGGCTGCGAAGTTGTGAGGTCATGCCTTGAGGAACTTCATAGACTCAATGCTACTAAAAATTTTATAGAAGAAGTATATTTAATGGCAGGAGCGACAGAAATAGCTCCTAAAGATTATGAAATATTTAGCATCATCAATAAAAAGCTTGTCCATATTTATACTCCTTTAGATTGGATCCTTAAGTGGAACAAATTTGTAGAAAGTGCAGATCCAATAGGAAGAAAAACTCTAAGTAAGGAGACTTAATCTTCTTTTTAAACTTGCTTCATAGATAAGAAACTAAAAAGAAACATTGAAAGCTTGGGAATTGAAGTAGAGCAGTACGATATCTCTGAAATTGCGGATGGGCATGGCAAATTCAGAGGAAAGTTGGATTTGATCATGAGAGAATCTGAATTTCATTAAATTAATTTCATAGTATTGAGATTAATGGTAGATAGTTTTCAAGAGGATATGGTCATATAAATGTTATGGGAGGGAGTAGTAGTCAATATTCTAAACAATCATTTCACCAGTAAAGATTTTATCAAATTTTAAGAGGGTATGAAACATTCTGTTCACTCAAAAGTTCATCTTATAGAATTTTGTTTGAGTTAGCATCATCTTGTCAAGTAATTCTTAAAATGGTAGATTACATATCTGAAGTGCCAAACGAAACTATCTGGGCAAAGTTAAGAATGTTAAAAGCGATTTATCTTATAGATACATTTTTAGAAATGCATTTAAGATAGAAACATTTGAATTTTCATTAACATTCCCGACTGTGATAAATCTTTTTAATTTGATAATAATTAAAAGTCTTATAAGGAGCAATTATAACTTTATCGTTTAAAGCCCAAAGACTAGGAAACAGACTTGTAATATAATAGAAATTTGCCTTTTGAAAGTTACCCATGCATTAAAAACTAAATATTCGGTGAATTAACAACAGAGAAAAATCACAATCACATCTTCTCGGTGATAAAGCTGATGAAGCAAAACGGTTGATTTCTGGAATTTGGTTAATAAATTTGAAAGCATTTAGTAATAGCTTAGATTTTAACAATTTCTTCTTGTAGATACTGTTTTCCTATTTTATCTACAATCCATATAGAATTTTAATGCTAAAGATTTTTATGTTTAAAGGATTTTTACAGTCTCCAATCTTAATTGTTAGTGTACCTTAATTGTGTTGGGTATTAGACATTTTAAATTTTCATTACTAAGCTCAATGCTTAAATGAGGATCCTTATTAATTTCTTGATAGATATATCTCAATTGTTGTATTTTATGTATGATTGAGAATTTTCAAAAAACATTTCACCAAACTAATTAATAAACTTTTAGAGTTAGTTATCTCTTTATTTCATAACCAAATCATTTATTGCATCCTTAGATGCAGGGCCATTCAAAAAATACATTCTATTTTCTTTCCCAACTGTAGGAATTTATATTGTGCTCAACATTTTGAGATTAATCAAATTGATTCAATGCGACTTACTTTGTAAATAAAGTTTTAATTCTACTCAATTTCTGATCTCTCATACGGGGTTTTGGGGTTTTGGGGTTTTGGGG